TCTTATGTTCATAGAGTTCCCCGTGCCAAGTGTTATTACTGTGTTGAGTAATATTGAAGTTATGCGTATAAGTGAAGTCGACCGACGGGGTTGTGCAACTGCATCGGTTGAGATGACTAGAACATATGTCAAGAATGCCAAGTCCATCGCCTTCTCTATCGAGCGATGTTAACTGACATCGTATAGATTTGGAAAGGAGGTGTTGGTGGTCAGAACAAAGCATGAAGTCTTTGACTGTCGGTTGGATTCATGTAGGAAGGTGTAGACTGCCTGTCTGGAATCCTCAGGATACTAAGAAAGAAGGGTTGGAGACTATTAATAACATGGTATTCAGTTAATGTCTCTTCTGAAATTTAAACTTATTGTGTTAGACTAAATTTCTTTCTCAGAAAGATCTTACTAGTAAACTGTGTGAATCGTGAATTTACATTTATTTCTAAAACAACTTATGTCCCCAAATTGCCTATGCAAAAAAAAAACGGGTGAAGGGAGATCTAACCTGTATTGGGACATTCAGCCATACACTGATTTAAACATATGGTCCATTCCGTATTAGAGTTATTTTTAAGAAAATTTTTTATTGTGTGTCATGTCTATTATAGTCCTTTAAGAATCGTTATTTCCTTCTGACATTTCTTCTTCAGTGACTCCACCCAGTGATATATACATAACTTATCACTACTTCCCAGAAAACATTGCTCCTCACACTACTTAGATCCGTTAGTAGGTAGAATAAGTTGATTAGTTCAATTTACAAGCAGTATTATTTATAGGATTTCATTATGAGCTGACCTTGGTCGGAGAACCATTGGAAAGCCAACAGGGAGTACTGGATAGCTGTTTCGTCCTGACTTGGGACTCTTCATCAGTACGCATCCACCGAGGTTTGAGATCGCCTTGTAACCGGAAGGTCGTGAGTTTTAACTCCTGTGGTGGGTGTGTACTGATGAAGAGTCCCAAACTACAAGGAGGAAACAGCTGTCCCGTACTCCCTGGTGGTTTTCCTATGGTACTCTAACCGATGTCAGCTCATGATGTAATCCTGTAGCCAATCAAATCAAATCGCTTCAAAGCAATAGTTGAATGAGAAGTATTGTTGTTGTTGTTGATCTTTTTTACCCCGTTGTTTGTGTACTGCTCATACAGTTTGAATAAAGTCTGATCACTTATAAATAACACATGTATACTATCTGAAGTATGATTAAGTTGACCGGCCGAAACTGAATGGGGAAGTTTGTAATTTAATTGTATTCATTATTGGAAGTGAATTTGAGCAGTTATTCTTTACGAAACAATGGCACAGGATTCACTGATTGTTTTAAAAGATACACAAAATAAAGACTTTACAACTCTTATAGTTTTAGATAATTATTATAATTTCTGATCAAATTCTATTCTTCAAGAATGTTTGGAACAATTAGATAGATTTACGCAATTTTCACTAATTATATATATATATATATATATATATATGTATTTTTAGTATATATCCTCATGTGTTCGTCATACACGCGCACAGATGTCTTCATAATCAGCGACCTTCATCAAAAAATCTTTTTCTTCGGTCATTTACACATGAACATTTGGTTTCTTATTTCATATTAAATGGCGTTTGTCTATGTGTATTCATGGGTGAGTGTGTGTGTGTGTGTGCGTGCGTGTAAGTGCGCGAGTGTGTAGCTAACAAATGACCTTCACAAAACAAGTCTGTCCTCTACACACTGCCCTTACAAATATAAATTATTCTCTTTTTTTCTTCATTAAAACCATTTATTGTGTCTGTAGTAGTAATATCCTAATAATAATAATATAATAATAATATAATAATAATAATGATAATAATAATATTTTTATATATTAGACAGAGAATGTCAGTTTGGAATTTATCTAGGCTTTAAGCTGTGATAATGGAAGATTCTGATCCATTGTCTGAGTGTCTTACTGATCCTACAACTTCTTTTCTAGGTCAATATTTTTTTATAGATGCAAAGAAAAAATGGGCTAAGAATTATCCAATCAAAAATGATATTATTTTTATTTTAGTAGCTGCTTTATGTATGGATAGCAACAAATAACTGAGGTCTAGTAGTATTGTGTTTTATATTTTATAACACATATTATTAGTCTTATCTTAGTGTTTTTTAAATGAAGGCACATCCAGCTGACGAGCGCCAAATGACTGCTTATTACTTTATCCCGATAGCTTCAGTTACTGTTATTATTAGAAAGTAGTAGTAGTGGGTTAAATCTAAACTAAGATTGGTAACAATTTGTTTCTCAACGCCCCTCTTTTGCGCCTACATCAAACAAAGTTGGTTGTTAGTGAAATTCTGCGCTTTGCTCACATTCTCGTGGATTGTAAATGGATATATATATAATATGTATATATATATGAGTACTTGACGGCCGTCCTAAAGAATAGCCTCCACGGAGTTGGAATGGACCAGTGACCTTGACTGCATATCATTCTTTGGATTGCTGAAACTACCGTTATTACAACACCAGTATGAATGGTGTGCACGAATGAATGTGTACACTTCAACCTGATCTAATTTTTAGGTACTATTTGAACCATTGGTTGACAGCAAAATTAAGGCTAGGGTTAGGATGTTTCGTTATTATCTGTGTTTTTCTTGTAAATAAATATGTGAGAGGAGGGTACTGATGAAACTGTTTTGATAGCTATGAAACTTGAAAACTGATATCCTTCAGTTACGTCAGGGCGAAATATCATCCTTAATGTGTTCTACTACTACTATGTTAATTTTTCTCGTAAATAAACGTGTAGAATAGTGTAGAATACACGGTAGGTTCTGTAATCCAAGGATTGGTATGTGTTCAAGGTCATTCCATTGGTGCGTTCGCACACTTTGTTCTCTATTCTTTATGCATGGCTACTTGACTTTTAATCAGTGGGTCAAGCGGCGCGAATCCTACTTCACCCACTTTCTAACCTTGGCAACTGGGTGCTGGTGATGTCGTCATCAGGCGTCATATGATTTGTCGGTCATATAACCTGTAATGCTCACTGTATAAAACTAACAATTACAATGACTGGAATGTGCTGCACAGACATTAGTAGTACTCTGACAATGTGCTCTGTCATCCTATTTTCGTATTGATATCTTATCGAAATCAACTTGTCAGAATTAACTGTTTAATAAGTTAGTTATTTCAATATCAACATATTCGTACCCATTATTATTATTATTATTAAATGGATTTTGCAACTATTTTTTATGTGCATGCATACCACTGTTATTGTATACACTGAGCAGGCAATGGAAAACTTGTTACAATTGTGCAAATTTTTCTCTCCTGATTAAAGGAGTGTTGGGAATCGCGTGTTTTGAGTTTTTGTTTTGCCTGTGTTCTCTTCTATTCTGTGTGTTCTATCAAATTTCTGTCATCCGTCTAACATTTTTTATGATAGATTACCTAGACTGATTAATTAACTAATTAATTAGTCGTGTTGTTATTATATACATTTTATGTGTGGTCGATTTTTGATTTTAGTAAGGATTTTCTAAGTATTGTCTATTATATGCCATAGTCAACTGTGAATACTAAGTAGGTGGTAACTTAGATATGGAGTTAGAGCATTTATGCTGCATGCATCATGAGTAGGTGGTAATTGGCTTTGGAAGTAAGTCATTGATAAAAACAAAAGTATAACCAGTGGACTTATCGAACAAATTTCACTTGATGAGTATTCAAGAATATCCACTCATTAAATCATTGAAGAATATTGCCTGGGATGGATAGTTTAGGCAGTTAGCACGGTTATAAACTGGCTACATTGTTTTGTTTTTTCATCCTAAAGCGATAGATGAGAATAGCTTAATGATTAAATTAATATAGCGCGTCAGTGGCACAGCGGTAAGAACTCTCGCCGACCATGCAGATGGTCCGGCGTTCGATCCCCTGCCGACACACACACACCTGATATCAATGGTCGGCCTGCGAAATTTGGGCTACTGATATCACATGTTAAAAATTCCATAATTGTACCAAAAATACGGTGTGGAATCAAGCTATAATAAAAAAAAAATCAAAATAAAATAACCTAAGTAATATGTTAGAACTCATTTCCTCGGGACAGATTTCTTATAAAATCAGGCTATGAAGGCAAATGATACTCTTCAGCCTAGTTACCCCAGACTGAAGTATGTGTAGCGGTTTTCAAAGGAGGAAACTAACTGATTGAAAGTCCAATCGACCACTCAGGAATATGATATTTGTTATTTAGCTACTGCAATATGAATTGTACTTGACTAAAATTAATGAAGTAGATCTTTGAGAAGAAAAGAAGTGCCTGGGCGGAAACATATACTTGCGTCTGTGGTTTGGCAGTTGGATGCTCGCCAGCCATGCCTCACGTGGTCTGGGATTCGATCCCCGGCCGACACACTCCTAAACCTCGCTAAGTCGGTAGTAAGACTGGTTAATACGGAAGGTCAGGTATGAGGTTAGCAAAATCATCCCGCAAAAATTAAACCACTGCTGCTGAAACTCCAAAACTCTAGCTTGAAACCTTATGTTCCACTAGGAACGTAAAGGAAGAATAAAAGTGACTTGAGACACATTCACCCAACTGAGGTGTTATTTGCAAGAGCAGATTAATTATTCTAGTGTATCCAGCTATCTTTGATCATGAAAAGTCTGTATTAAATCACTAGGTGCATGTTTTATGAGTATTTCTGACATATGCCTTTTAGCCACATTTAGTAGAGAATTTTGCATTATTACAAGCAAATATTTCTGCAATAATCGATGATTCAAAGCGAAGTGAAACTGCAACCTCAGTGGGTTTTTTTGTCCCATTAAACTAACAAGATTCCATTACTTACCAATTTTAAATTAAAATTCACTTAGATTTTCTCCAGATATGTCATGTCAATAACCATTGATATATCCTGTTCACCCTTCTTGTCTTCTTCAATCTCTCATGATTATTTTCATCCAATGTCTTGCTTCTTTATCCCCTCATGTTAATATAGGGTTTTGTTATTTAAAAATCAGTGATCAACGTCAACTTGTTCGCAGTGCTATGTATCCTATTATGCTGTTGGAACTTAGTCGAGATTATATGAATGAAGATGGTTCACGGTATAATTATTTTGATTTCACGTAAGTTTTGATACATTTTTTGAATGTGACTAGCTTAAATGGAATTTTTTTCTTTTGGGTGTTATTTTGTTCAAATTCAATCTTGGTTGCAACAGACCTAGAAATTTGGCGAAAACTATATACTACTGATTGGTCGAGGTGAGTAGTTGTATACCATTTACACACCAAACAGTAGCACTTAATTAAAAAGACCGCAGTGATCTAAACATAGGACAGCTGCTTGTCGCTTGTCCAATGCCCCCGAGCTCATCAGCGGTGGGTACTCAGTTTGATTCAGCTCAGAGAGTTCAAACCACCAGATTTCTGATTAGCCAATTAGGCGAACTGGTGATAGCAAAAAAAAATCCACTTGCAATTTGAAAATTAGTTCACAATTCTGCGAATTAATTCGAAATTTACACAGTTTGAGGAGAGTAGCAGACTACTTACCTCAGTACATCAGTAGTATGTATAGATATAACTTTATATGATTATGCTTGGTGTCTTGATTACTATATATATGATATCAAGCAGATCACATACTGTCATCTCAGTAATCTCCATTTTTTAAGATAATTAGCGAAATTGCGGTATAATTTGCAATTTGCAAATTTGATTTATGGAAATCTGTCTGTTTGACAAAAATGTTTTTAGGCCTGAAAACAAAAATAGTCAAATTTTTAGTTCAGAATTAAGGATGATAATTTCTTGTCGAGTTTTGTTATGCATCGAAATCATCAATTGGAAAAAAAACACTCGAGGATTGGGATTACTGAATAGCTACTATTTTGTTGTAGCTTGAAAATTTTAATCAGCCTGTGCAACATCCTGTCTGCAAAGGTTTGAGTACAGGAACACCTAGTCTTTGTGTTAGAATCCAACAGCTTATGGTTTCTAATTTCTTCTAATTTGTCACTTAGTACAATCTTATTATTATTATTCTCTTGGGTCCCGAGTGGAACATGAGGCTACACTTTGTTCTGTTCTCTGCGATCCTCTTTAACTGGCCCCACAATTACCCATAAGATCTCATCTCCCCATCGAACGGTCTCCTTTATGTCACCCTAGGACACACCCAATGCGTCATTTTAAATTCGAGTTCCACTAGGGCTATGGCTTGGCGCGTGGTGTCACTCAACGGTCTCCTCAGCGTGTGTCCAATCCACCGTAATATTCTTCGGTATATTGGTTCACTAATAGCTTCTTCATTGGTTGGTTGGTGGGATGATTGGTTCTCAGAGGTTCCTCCGCCAAATTCTTTCTGGTCAACCGACCATTTGATCTCCATTATAGAACTAGCAAAGACAGTTGTTGGTAAACGTCTGCGCTAGACCGTTCGAAATGCTTATTGCACCATGTTTCTGACCCATATAGATGAACTGACTGACTTAACATATACAGCGACGTGCAGATTTCCAAACTGATTTCAGACTGATGAATGTCAGTCTTACCTTTCCGATTCTGGCTGGCTTTGACATCCTCATCCTTGGAGTATGCCTGCAGCGAAAACTATGCTTCCTGGATAAGCAAAGGAACGTCAATCAACATTCATTATTGTCGATAAATAACACCATGCCACTGACAAGATATTTCATTAAATCTGTAAAAAGTTATCCCCAGGTTGGTCACTAACGCAAACTGAAGCTAAATTAAGTAGGTTAGCTTGTTTCAAGACCGTACGTTTATCAGAGTAAATTGGCGTTAGTCGGTTCATGGTTCGGAATCCAGGATGCTGATGTCATCTTATTTTGAACAGATCAGTTGGATGTACTTGTGCACCACCACCACCCCTTCCGCAGTGAGTGATGGTGTTGTTCCCACTGAAACGTGAATCCACTAAGCTTCGTTTCAAACTCTAAGGAGTTAGTCACTAGGTTTCAATTTCAATAAAGAATGTAACCTCAGAAATGGAATTATGCTTATGGTTTGTTTAGCAAAAAGAAGTTAAAAAGTATATTTGTATATATAAATTTCTTCTTATCAATCTTTATCCTTTTTTCTTCTATCTCTTTATAAGTCCTGAAGAACATGACGTTATTCTTAGTCATTTTCCAACGTTTCATACAATCTCTGGTCATTTAATACGTTCAGGGGAATTTCTCAACAGAATACGCTTAGATAATATTGAATTAACTTTGGTATGTGCTCAGGAAGTATTTAAAAGTAAGTGATGTGTTGTTGTTGTTGCGGTATAATGTTTTTCTCTTCTTTATTTTCATTTATTTCCCTTATTTCGCTGCTCACAGTTTAACATCAATGCATGTATAACAATTGACCAACACTTGTTTTAAATTGACTATCCTTCGCTTCTGTGGTCGCTCTTGTTGTTTGTTGTTGTTGCTACTACTACTACTATTGCTTTTCAATTTTTATGAATTCACTTTATACCGCGTAAGGAAATGTGTGTAGGCCCATGGGGAAAACAGCACCTTTTTCTTTAACTTCGTTGGTGGGATAGCTCCTTTGTCTTTCTTTTTTTGAATTTGTTTTATTTTCATTCCTCCATTTTTGATGATATGATATTGTTTTCTTTTCGCCTTCCTTTTGTTGTGTAGATATGAGAGGTAGTTCCTTCGCAAATGCGCATGTAGCACATATTTGTCAGATTTGTAAGGTCTCAAACATTGTGTGGCGTAGTGGTTCAGTGGTAAAACGTTCGCAAACCACGCCTCACCTGGTCTGGAGTTTGAGCCCCAACCAACCAACGCACTCCTAAACCTCTCTAAACCTGTAGTAAGGCCGTGAGGCTAGCAACCCCACCCTGTAAAAAATAAACATCACTGCCATTGAAACTTCAAAACTCTAGCGTGAAGAAGCCGTATGCTCCTCTCAAAGTCGGAGGAAACATCTCTTCGCACTTTTCCTTTTCCAATAGTTCTCTAACTGATGTCCATTCGCGATGAGATCTAACATGAAGAGTGAATCAGTCACAAACCAGAGGATAAAAAAATGTGTGTATATATTTTGTTTTCTAAAACGTTTGGTTGAAGTAGGAACATTGAGGTGGTGACAGACGGGATAATCACGAGTATCGCTTGTCTATGCCAGCGATGTATACAACAGCTAACGGATCTCTCAGCCTTCAGCTAAGGCGAGAGTACATCAAAGACGAGATGGGGAGTAACAGTTTTTCTTCACAACAATGTATAATTCAAAAAATCGTCAAGGATATGTCACGATTAGTCCGTAGTCATTGTCAGTAAAATAGTGAACGTTATTTTATTTCATCGACTTCGAAAATGCCTTTGACAGTGTTGACTGAGAAGTAATTTGGAAACTACTTCAACACTGTGGCGTGCCCCAAATCTTTATCAACCTCATTCAACCACAGCTAATGACTATGCCATGTGTCAGGTGATCCACAACGGGAATCTCAGAGAAGCCTCTGAAGTGACTACAGGAGTAAGTTTGGACTGCCTATTGTCACCATTGACATTCCTAATTATGGTGGACTGGATTATGCTTCAGACTGTGGGAATTGAGAAGACAGGAATACGTTGGACCGATAAGAATGTGGATGATTTATGTCTAATGTCACACAGACCTGGACACTTAGACGCGAAAACTGAAAGCTTGGCAGAAGAGGACAGAACTTCAAGTTAACATAGAGCAACAACGAACAGCACTAATCACCATCAGTGGGAGACATTTGACAGAGTTCACTTCCTTCACTTATCTAGGAAGGACAGTTTCAACTACAGGCAGTCAGAATGGATGAAGATGTCACAGTCAGCCAGAATGGGAAAAGTAAGATACACTGTCATCAATTGGAAGTCGGTTTCGAAATCTTCTGCACTCAACATAAAGAACGAAATTCGGGTATTAAGTCAGTCAGTTCTTCAATATGGGTCAGAAACTTGGTGTACGTGCATCGTGAAAAGCATTCGCTAGCTCTCAATTGAAGATCAAACGGCCAGAAAGAATTAGTAACAGGAAACTATGGGAACAGATTAACCAAGGACGTATCGTTCCACAAATATTTAGAAGAGAATGCAGATGGATCAGGTATACGTTGAGGAGACCGTCGAATGACATCGCGCACAATGCGGGTCATCACTCGAGTAGGAAACGACTAGTAGGGCGTCCGAGGTTGACATGGAGATGATCGTGCGAGGAGGAGATGAGAGCTTATGGGCAACCGTGGGGCCAGCTGAAGGGGACAGTAGAAAATAGAAAAAAGTGTAGATATGTCGTTGAAGCCCATATGTTCCACTCGAAACCGGAAGGAACAATAACTATATAATAATAATACTTTATGTAGGCCAATTCTGATTGGTTTGTTTCCAGGCTGGACACTGATCACCACATCAGTATACACATGTACCAGTGAGAATAATATTGAACTATACCACCTTAGATGTCCTGTGATCTTTCGGTTTTCTTCAACTATGTATAAGGCTTACACATAGGTTTCTTTGCAAATAATTAACATGTGATGATAATATGTTGTATGCAGCTGTGAATACCCTATTGCTAAACAATCTCATAAATGGTAAACAAATAGTCCTCAGGTACACTTCGGTCTTTAATGATTCACTGACTCTTGGAATTCATAATCATCCTCTCTCTATATAATTTTATTACTTTTTGGTCTCCTGTTTTGGTTATATTCTCTTTTTTCCTGTAATTTTGGTATTTATTAAAATTTTTTGAAAAATTTTATTACTTTACAGTCCTGTATAAATTCATCTTTCAAGTTGTTACTTTAACACTTCTTTTTTGTTGCAAAATAATCGAGTTATTTCCATGGTGGTAATGTGGGTGGTGTGAGAGGACACATGTGGGTGGAATATTGTACTAATCACTGTCGTTGTTACCATTCCTACTGCTACTATTATGTTACTACTGATACTACTTCTAGCTCTACATGTTCCCCTATTTATTTGTAACAATAGTGACAGGGGTGGGATGGGTTGGTGAGGTGGCGTGGCGTGGCGTGTTAGTATCTATGTATCTATTGCTAAATCCTTCAATTGTCTTGTTATTATCCTGCTTTTTTATTGCTATTGTTCTAAGCCTTGGGTCTTGAAAATTACTACACTTGAGCACTTACGCACTCACGCAAGCACTCACACATACACACACACTATTTGAGGCAATACAAGATAACTATAATCATTTTATTATTGCATAAGTTGGATATTATGTATATGTAACAAAATGAATGGAGGGGAATAACAAATGAGTTATCATACTCATGCTGTTTAATTAATCAATCCCCTTTTTGAATATTATTATTATTACAGACTCTTAGTGAAAATTATTTCTGATTGTGTAGGTGTTCGAGTTTGCGTAGATTTTAGAGGCAGTAAGAGAGGGCGAGAGAGAGAGACAGAGATAGAAGGAATACATGTGTGGTTGAATTCATTTTTCTCTGCATGAACGTGCGTGTATGTGTGAGTAGTGGTTGTGTCTAGTCACGAGTAATGTTGGTTTCAAGCGTTGATAGAAATAATAATATCTAACTCTATTGTTACATTTGTTTTCAACACTACTTCAGGTTATCGCTTACATAGTTATTATTCGTCTAGTCTCTCTCTCCTTATATATATATATATATATATATATACGCATGTGGATATTATTGTTTCATGCATTTATATTATGAAATAAAAGCCCTTTTTTCCACTCGCATTTTATCTCTCTCTCTCGTGTCCTCTCTTTTTTGTTTAAAAATATAAAAGAGGGGCACTTTTTATTTGTCGTATACGAATTCCTCATCTCTCTCTCTGGCTTTTTTTCTTCCCCTACGTTTGTGGGATTATTTATTTGTTGTAAAATATAAAAGCGTTTTTTCATCTCTATATGTTTTTTTTATTTATTGCATATTGCCTTTTTCCTCGTGACTATCCTTTTTTCGTGTGTGTGAGAGTGTGTGTGGGGGGGTGATGATCAGTCAATCAGTCGTGGGATGGCAACTTGTGAGAAGTTGAGTAACATTTAATTATTACCATCATTGTTACAGATAAAGTGAATAATGTAAACTTTAAGAAATATGGTGAAGTTAGAATATCAGATGCCCCCACCCCACCACCACCATCACCGCAGCGGAACGTGCCCATCAGTGACTACAAACAACCGACCCTGATTAGAGTGAACCCGTGCAAAAAAGTGTATGCGTATTAAACATGATACTCTATTTTTATAAATGAGTATGACTCCTACTTTCTTATACAGGGGGTTGGTATTCATCTAAATGACCAGAGAGAGAGAGAGAGTTAGCGTCATGCTTACAGTTAGGAATTACTGGTTTGCGTTTAGTTTAAGGCAATTCGTGACGAAAAACCTTTTACAGATTCGATCATGAGTTGACATTAGTTAAAGAACCATTGGAAAACTCGACAGCTGTTTCATTCTGGTTTGAGACTCTTCACCAATACAGCAGATCCACTGGAGTTTGAACCCAGGACCTACCGATTACAAGGTGAGCTTGTAGACCATTCAACCACTGCGATCCGATCCAATGGCCACTCCGTGTGAATTCTAGTTCACAAAACATGTGGCGCAACCGCCAGTCAATATCATGGGCGAGTAACTGACTTGTTGGACCCAACTGGGTAAAAAAATTAAAAAAATCGTTTAGAAAGCCATTGGGAAGCCGTATATCCTGAACTGCATTCATCACTAATACTTAACTCGATTTCTCTTTTCTCAACTAAATTCACCTTTACAACGTGGCTGGTTGATTCAAAGTCGTTGGTGCACTTTATGGCTCGTGGGCTTTACTACGAATATTATTGCATTGAATCGAAATATATTTAGGATATAAATAAATGATTGCTTGGATGAATAAATAATCTGAGCAGATATAAGGAACAACTGAATTATAATTTATTGTCTCAACCCTATTGTTTTAAAACTAGTGTCACGCCTACCATATGATCAGATTTGATTACAAAGCTGTAATCCAAGTTCTCGAAATTCTCATCAGTAGGTGGTCAGTATTATCTTTGATGGTGGTGCTGCATTCACCTTGTCGACGACTGTAACTAGTTCCCTTGGGAAAAAAATTAAGTAGTAATGAATGCCTTCAAGTTTACAGATTAAACAAAACACTAGCCCCCATTTTCTTGTTATTCTGACTCCTCCACGACTCCACTTTGGTTGTTTGTCGAATTCCTTCTGAGTGTCCTTTAGGTTTGAATGAAGGAAATGCTTATTCACTGATTGAAGTTTCCGTATCTGAACCAGGGAATCCGCAGATCCACATTCTGAAACACCAGTGTTTACTTAGTATGTTCTTGGAAATAAACAGTAGTAGGATTTCTATAATTCAAAATTCAGCTTTCCCAATAAATGAATGTTTTGTTCACTGAAACCTTCCTTAATTACACCATCTTGAATATTACAGAATTTAAATAAATAGGTTGATTAATGACTTTTACGAGTTGATCACGGACTGATATCAGTTAGAGAACCATTGAACCAGGGAGTCTGGACAGTACTATAGTGGAACTCAACCCACTGAGGTGCACTGGAAAGTCGTTCGTTACCTGTGGGGTCCACCAAGTCGTTTGGGAGTTTAAATAATTGCTTGTAACATATATATCGCAAATTGACAGAAGTTCATGCATCGTTGCATTCTGTCCCAGTGGGATGATGGTAGCATGCTTGCCTAATAGTCTAAACGTTCTACTCTCGATTCTTGATTGAGTAGTAGATGCATGCTTCTGACAAATCCGCTAACTGGTACGAAACACCTGTTTTGTTTGGTTTAATTAATTGCTTATTAAAATTTTCAGCAAAATAACAAAATAAGTGATTAATGGAATTAATATCGATAAAGAGAAAGTTTTTCAAGCTTATTTTTGTAGAAATTATAAAAAAAAATTAATTTAAATACACAACGGATAGACAGAATTATTGGAGTGCACTTAACTACTGTGTCAGCGAAGACAGGACTCCAGGTGAACATAGAGCAGACGGAGGTAATGAAGGTATCCAACCAACAGCAACAACAACAACTAGCACCAGTCACTATCAACGGGAAAAAAACTTGAAAGAGTTCACTTCCTTCACTTATCTAGGAAGCATTGTTTCAATCACAGGCTGTCAGAATGGATCAAGATGTCAAAGCCAGCCAGAATCTGAAAGGCAAGACTGACATTCATCACTCTGAAATCAGTTTGAAAATCTGCGCGTCGCTGCAGCATAAACAACAAAATTCGGATTCTGTTCAACACACCGATGTTAAGTCAGTCAGTTCATCTATATGGGTCAGACACATGGTGCAATCGTCACGAAAAACATTTTGAACGGTGTAGTGCAGACTTTTATCAACAAGTGTCTTTGCTAGTTCCATACTGGTGATCAAATGGTCGGTTGACCAGAAAGAATTTGGCGGAGGAAACTCTGAGAACCAATCAACCCACCAACCAACCAACGAAGAACCTATTAGTGAACAAATATACCGAGGAAAATGAAAATGGATTGGACACACGCTGAGGAGACCGTTGAATGACATCTCGTGGTAGGCTATCTCCCGAATGAGAAAGGAAAAGTTGGTCCTTGATCGCGTGAAAAGAGGAGATGAGAACTGATGGACAATCATGGGACCAGCTGTAGGGGACCTCAGAGAATAGGACAAAGTGGAGGTGTTCTGTTTAAGCCGTATGTTCCATTCGGAACCCAAACGAAGAACAGTGATATTAATATCTGTGTACTGTATGCGAATATATATATAAACCTAAGTTAAAGTTTCTTTCTAACAATCTAAAACAAGAAACAAATCGGTTTTACTTGTTTCTGCGTATCAACTTTTCTTAATCAAATTGGTTTCAGTTCAATTTCTTGCAGTTTTTCTTTCGTGAATATGACCTTATTTCCAATAATTCATGTGATTGTGTGTTTACTTTTCAAAGAAAAAGTTTATCTCACAATCTTTTCCTGAATAAATTTACTACTAAAGTTCAAATATAAAAAGTTGAGGTGGTTGAAGGTCTAACTCACTGACGAGACTGACAAACTGAGTGGCAGCAATATGGTCGTCACAAAAATTCATTATCCTGCATATCATATCTGTATACTTGAACCTCATAGTTCTGTCTGTTGAAACAGTGTTTTCCTGTTAAAGTAACAGTGATTAGTTGTCTTTTTCCGTATGATTTATCCAATTTTTTCCTACCTTTTACCTTCTAATCAACACTGCTGTTAACCTGCGCTTCTGTTTTTCACTGCTTAGTTACTCGTGTTTATCACATATTATCTTGCATCATTATTTTGTGTTCAATGTTGAAACTTTATCCCCCATCACACTGCTGCCGTTGATCAGTGTTAATAAGCGTGAATATTGTTGCTATTCATTCTCCTCCAGTGCAATGTACTAGTAGTATTTTGTTGTTTTGTACTCTTTCTATTTTTTTACGAAATAATAATACAGCTGGCTTACATCGGGGTCAGACGTCTCGAATTCTCTTTTCTCTCTCTCTCTCCCTCTCTCCTTTTATATATTTCATTTAAATAGTATCACAAATACTAAAGACCTTGACCTGGATTTAGTCTAAATTGTTGACGACGAAAAATAGTTGATTTGCATTGAAGGTGGTAAATGCATTGTCTCTCTTTCCTTCCCTCCTTCCTTCTCCTTTTCTCACCCTCTCTCTCTCTCTCTGTTTCTTGTCTATGAATGCGTCACTGTGTGTATCTGTTTGCTTACTCTCTTTCTTTTCTACGCAACAACAAGAACTTGGGATCTTTCTCGGTCAAGGCCAATGAGAATAAGACAGACTATCTGTGTTTATTGGCTGGTATTTCACATTTCTATGTGGATATTTTGTGTGTTATAAGAAAAAGAAGGTCATTTAACTTTGTTTATTTTCATATGTATATATATGTGTGTGTGTGCATGTGTCAGACTAGTGAATTAGGAAAGGTTTTATAAATATCACAAAGTTATTCTCAATCCATGTTATGTATGTACTTTTCAATAACAAATGAGTAGGAACATACACCATTTTGCAACTTTATACAAATTGTGTAACTGTTGCGTATGCATTCATTTTATTCCATACTATTGGTTGTTATCGCTTTAGCAAAAAATAGTTCATAAAGTACACCAATTGTCTTTAACTCAACGTTGATAAATGAATCTCTAAAATATTGATATCTGACTAACGAGCACTACTCATAGTCATTCAGTAGTGTATAATCGTAAATATATAAAATTATTTGTGAACCATGTTGTACTATGTTTAGATCTATATTCAGTGGAAAGGAAATTCATGATCTCGCAGTGATATTTCGAATTCATTCACAGAAAGAAAATATCGTACGTTACTCATTTGTAAAAAAAACTATTAGGTACTCACGCTGTTGCATCGGTGGTTCAGCGGTGAATTGCTCGCCAATCATGCATATAGTCTGAGGTTTGATCCCCGATCAACTCACTCATAAACCCCACTAAGCCTATAGTAAGACAGCGGGTAAAGAGGGAAGGTTGAACATGAGGTTAACAACCCCCACCCGTAAAAAGCAACACCACACTGCTACTGAAACTTCAAAAGCTCTTGCTTGAAACCCTATGTTGTTCCACTCGGAACGTAAAAAGGAATAAATTAAAAACTGGGTACTGTTAATCAACAGGTGAATATAGTCATAAGAAAATCTCCAGTGATAAGCGATTGCAGTTAAGGACACCAGGAAAAAAGTGTTTCACAAATTTCACTTTATATATGTATATATATATATATATGCGTGATTACAATTTATCATGATTTTTATGTTTTACTCCTTCCTTTCTGCTTTGCTTCACCTATACTACATAACGTGTAATAGATCGTCAAGGTTTGGATGATCCTTTAACACCAGCCCATTTATATAATCTAGCTGGACAAGTTCTCGCTGATCATATCGTTTCTAGTAAGTGCCATTATTATTATTATTATTACTGCTACTACTACTATGATAATTATAGTGTTAATCCTTATCATGTCTTCATTTACCACCTTTTGACATCTTATTCTGTCCTTTTTAAAGGCTTATGCATTGTGGACTGATGAGTCGAATTGTGTAATGAATGTGTATATTTATAGAAGGATAAAGTTTGGTACTGGTAATATTTAGGCAACTGTGTTTAGTAGGATCTAATGTTTTCGACATTTTCCCAGTCTTTGCGATGACCATCATCTAAGTAAGGATAGGAAAGACATGTGACTGGTGGACTAGTTTGATCGGCTTAATATTGGGTCCAGCAGTGTTGAACAGTTCTTAAACTGATTTTAAATAATTAGTTTCCAATGGAAGTTATTAATCCTGTCACATACTTTATTTCCTTAACCTTTTCATCAGGCATCTGTTCGCAGTGAGGAGAGGAAAGTTTCATGAATATCCTAGACAAAGTAATGTTACGTAATTCTGTATCTATACAACCTAACTACCAAAGTACACATTCACGTACTGTTTGACTCCAAGTCAGTCACCCGTGTGTGTGTGTGTGTGCGTGCGTTGATAAACATATGTAGCGTGCTATTTGCTGTTAGATGATATTCCTTTATTTCTATTATATCTTCAAGTTATTATGTGTTACATTCCACTAATTGATATGAATATTTGAAAGCTACTCAAACTAGACGATATTGTTTTCTAGCCAATTCGAATTGATTTAAACACACACTCATTTAAGATCAGTCTCATCAGTGGTGTTTATGTTTCTCAATACGTTGAGATTGAAAGAGGGACCCTGAGCTGATCACGAATACCGCTCGACTACCACTAACAACATTGTACGACAGCTACCTGTCCGCCCCCTCGCAGCCCGCACTACTTGAGCAAGAACGCACAACAACTTCAGCCATAATATATCTTACACAATAATGTATGACTCAAATTATCACCAAGGGTTGTCAATTAGCCTATAATCATTATCAATAAGACAGTGAGCGCTGATTGACGTAAGCTAATTCTGATTGGTTTATTTCCAGACTGGACAACGATCACTATATCAGTTAACAATTTACAGGGTACGCAGATCGAGCTGAATTTCGAGCACAGTTTCCTTTGGAAACCTAAAGAATATTCAGATTACTCTTCATATCTAATGTGCTTGATGTCATTAATGGCAATCAAAAAAGCAAACAAATCGACATGATACTACTGATTTGTAGATATAAGTAGTTGAAAACTAGTCACGCCAACCAGGAGGGCTTTCTACGCAAATCTCAAGTAATTTCTAATGTAAGACTTGTCTGTCTGAATCTTATTGAGTAAATATGTCTCTTCAATGCACAAGTAATTCATTCAACTTATTTGTTTTTGTACTATTTTTTATATTAATAATCATCAAGTGGGTCATTCATTGGAAGAACGACGTGCTGCATTATCTCATATTTCACCAATGTTAGAAGAATTAAATGCAGAACATCATGAAGTACTTGCTCAATTACGTCAGGATAAACCACATTTAGATTTTCCCCAATTATATCTTGAAATGTTCCAGTTAACAGAGGATGAACAAAGAGAACAGAAGTTAAATAACTATGATGATTCAGATATTAATTAATTAATTAATCAATTGAAATTGTGCATCAAATAGGCCCAATTATTGTCGATATCTTTGATGAATATTTCTTTGTGTTCATCTTCCTCTTCTTGTTCTTGTTCTTCTTCCTCTTCTCCTCTCTGTCTATCTATCTGTGTGGGCGTGTGCGCGCATGCCACTGGATAATTAACTTTTCATTTCTATAGACATGATTACGAATAGTCCCCATTGCTACCTATCTCAAGGTTATATTTATCTTATCTTATTGAATATTTATGCAGAATAGAATCTTTCTTTTTATTTCCTTCTGTCTAGTTTCCCCCCAACACTAATACAACTACCACTACTACCAATCTCCTTACTACTACTACTACTACTACTCTTTTCTGCTACCATTATTATCACCACTCCATTATGATTACTACTATATTGGTAATGCTAAAGATGAAAAAAGAAACAAATAAAAAGCGCCCCCCCGCACACCGCCGCCCACAACTCCACCACTGAAATCTACAATGACGGTGACTCGTATGTGTGCGTATGCGTGTGTCTGTGTGTGTGTGTGTTTGTGCAAATGGAAATGTTTTGTATTTCCAGTTTCCGTTCACCATCACCACCACCACCTCACGTTTTCTTTTGTTTAAATTAATAATAATAATAAGCTGTACTATAGAGATGACATAAGCATTTTGTTCCCTTTACTATTACTATTACCACTGCCACTGTTTTTGCTGACATTGTCATCAACTACTTATATTATTAGTATTATTGCATTATTAAGCTAATTTCCTTTCCTTCCTATCAACACACACACAATATATATATATATACACACTTATAACCCTGAAAATATTGTCTGTGTGTGTATGTACAGATTGGCTTCATGTTTTTGTTGAGAGTGTTCTCTATGTTTTATACCAATGTTGTTTACACTGTAGTTGTATTGATTAATCAATCGTTGAAGTACCAATTTCCCATTCACATCTGTTGTACATTTATTACCTATGAGTATTCTTCTTCTCTTCCTTTTTTTTCTAAAAAAACACGCATATACTACTGTTTATTTCAATTAGAGTAGTTTGTGTCCCGGTGTGTGTGCGTACATGCGTGCGTGTTTGTTTATATATAGCAGGCACGCAAAAGTGAAGGAAAAAAGCAAACGTCCTTGGCTCAGGTTATATATATATATATTTACATATTAATATGTATTTGGTGATATTATCTACCTAACTATCCATCTACCGATCTCCCTATCTATGTATCTCTTATATATGGTCTTACTTCTTTATCTTCTTTCTTGAGAGTAAACAGATCATTAGCAGTATCAGTTATGTTGTGTGTATGTGTGGGTGTGGGTGTGTGTTGTTTCACTCTTCTGCTGCACTGTAGTACCATCTTCTTCATTGACAACTCATAATCCTGTTATCCTTGATAAATTCTTCTGAGGAGGAGAATTTTATTGTCGATGTTGTCATTTTCAATAATGTTTCTCTTCTACCTTCATTCTTTTTTTAGAAATTGATACTTATATTGGCAATATTATCATCATCATCAATGTTTACTTCGTAACACACACACACACACAGCGAGACAGGTTTTTGATAAGCAGTATTTATTGTACTTCATAGAAAGAGATACGTACGTATGTGTATGTGTATGTGTAACAGCTGAATTGTCTTCAAAATCTTCCTCTTACTTCTTCACACACACACACCATACTTTCTATTGTGTTGTCTCTACTGCTTCTTCTTCTTCTTCGTTGTCGTCGTCTCCCCTTTCACTTTTCTTCTGGAAGTAATTGTTTTTTTCCCGTTTTGTTCTGTTGCTGTTATCGGTTCTTGTTGTGTTCATGATTGTAAATCACAGTGGATGAGTGAGTGAGTGAGTGAGTGAATAGTGCTCACTGGACTGATACAGATAATTATGGAAGTATTGTCAAATTTCTGAAACGATTAGCATACAAGGAAAAATGCATATATCTGCACCATATTCACTACTGCTCTACATCATATTGAGATGAGATAACAAAAGAAATCAGGGGTCATTATTCATGTAAAATGCGGAAATGCTTGTCATTTGGTGATACCGTTTGTGTGCGTATATAATTGAATGTAGTAAAACTCAGGGATAACTTATTTATTAATCGTGTTATTATTAGCATATTTGTTATTTATTGTCATTATCGTTAACATTATCATTGTCATTTTCTCACTTTCATATGATGCATATATATATATATATATATATTCACTTTGAATTTTTGTGTTGCTTTCTTTGTTATCTTATTCTATTTTCCATCCATTCAACTCATACACCTTTTTTTTGTTTTTCCTGTCTAATTAACGTAAATTGAATCCCATATGCGCGCCTACACACTTACATATGATGAACACAGATTACCTTTGATTATTTAATAACTGACTGTTGTCTCCTGTTTATTTATTCGATCTCGTATCCTCAATGTTTATTACTGCTACTACTACTACTACTACTTCTCCTTTTGTTTGACTTTTTTCTTCTTCTGCTCTATACACTTTCTCTCTCCGTTCCCTTTCAGAAAGCAATGCTATGCAATGATTCTTGATTGAAACGAGAACGCACAGTATACAGTATTATTGCTCTCTACTACTACTACTACTACTACTACTACCACTACTACTGTAACTACCTACTATCACAAGTCTTTTTTTAAAAATTATACCATTTAGATGAAAGAGAATGTACCGATCAATTCTTGATTTGATGAGGGTACTTCGTGTGTGTGTGTGTGTATGTTCCTTCTTCTTATTGCTCCTTTGTTATTCTTGTTATCATGATCAGTTCCAGGATCAATCTGTTCCATCGTGAATTGTAGTAGCAGCAGCAGTAGATTGAGTAATTAATTAATAATTCCTCTTCTCTTCCTCCTCACCCCCGTCTCTGTAAATCGACAATGTGTTCTTTTCGAGTTGTTTGCCGTCATCCCCCCCCCCTCACCCACCGACTTCCTTCTCTCTGGTGGAGTTTGTCAGCTATACATTTTGCGCCACTTTACCAGGAATCATAAACAGTTGTTTACCCCGGTTATTGACAAATTGTTTTTTTTCTGCCTTTTTGGTATTTCTTTTATGCGTGTATGTGGCTCTCTGAATATTAAAACAGTTTGGTTGTCTTTTTTTTACCCTCTTCTTATTCAATTTTCAAAACAAAGGGACACCTTTGACGAGTAGTTAGATAAACAGACAGACAAATAGGCGTATAGACCACAGGTAGTTGTACGGACATATATATATTATGTAGTGTAGATGAGTACACATTCATAGACAACACACTACGCATATACGCATGCATGCATGCATACAATACAGTTTACCTTCCGTTTCTAGCCTCATTTCACTCTACACACACATTTCTATCAGTTTTGTTATCCATGCTTTTGTTTTGATTGTTTAAGCGCCCAATCTATTACTAACGTGTTTTTAAAAAGAAAGTTATTCATGACTCCTTAATTATTACTAATATTACTATTACTATCATTATATTCGGCTTTTTTGAGCAGATGATTTTGTTATTATTCACTCAGAGGTGTGTTTATATTACTTTGATCTATCCCTGTTGACGATGATGATGATGATAATGACAATGATGTGGTTGTTATTTGTGAAGACGGTGGATTGAGACAGTATGTTTCATCTTTACTCAGGATATTACTATCGTATGGAAAAGTCTTTAGGCTGATGATGAATATCTGCTGGAATAGATCTTCTAGTTGCCGGTTTTTGTTTCTTCTTCAATTCTTCATTTTTTATTATTTTTTTGTTTCATCTATATGTGCCTCCTTTTCTTCTTGTTGTTGTTGTTGTTTTCAGTTGTTTCTTCAATGAAGACTGTGAGGGGAAACAAACCTCCTCTCATTTTTGATATATATTCATATACACATAAGAGTCTATGTGCACTGGTGATTGATTGATTGATTGTATTCATACGCACAAAAGTACGCCCATTACCTATTATTAACAGTGTGCACGACGAATGGCGCCCATATTGCTTCCTTTGTTTCTGAGACAGATTTTGTTTGTTTGGTTTTCTCCTGTTTGTTATGCAAATATTCTACACACTGATGAATAACTCAATACAATCCTGTCAAATATATGTTCATTCTCGGTGTCGGTTTACAACTTGCCTCTATATTATATATACATAAACACTTGTTTCTCTCTGATTTTTGCCTCACTCCGACTGTTTTTCATCGATTCACTGTCTCTCTCCCTCTCTCCTATAATCGTTACCAGGTAAGCATACGTGACACAATACGTATGAACAATTTTGTGTACTTCTGTTTTTTTTATCTCATTTTTTTATTTTACTGTTTTGTAACACAGCTGATTGTTCATCTAGATCCCAACTCTCTCTCTCTCTCCTCTGCTGCCGCCAACATTCTTGGTTAAAGGGAAAAAATAAAATCAGACAAATCTGGGCAACTGACCCTTTTTTTCTACATAAGATTCTTCAGTTTCTTCCTCTCTTTCCCTCTCTTCCTTCCTATCTCTCTCAGGATCTTATACAAATCAATAATAATAATAATAACTATAATGATCACAATGAAGTGTTTGTTATTTCTTAAATAGTGTACTCCTTTTGTTTCCTTCCCTTGGATTTTTCTTACTGCTTCAATCGTTCTGTTTGTTCAATGGATGTTGTTGTTGTTGCTGTTTGACAATACTACTTTGCTCACATACTTCATACTTTCTAAAACTCTTTTTTTTAAAAAAAGGAAAAACATTTTTATTATTTCTACAGTGAAATCAGTGTCCAGGTTCTCTTACTCCTTGTCAGGTTGATTGATGATCAGGTGTGCGTGTGCATATTTGTGTGTGTGCGTGTGTTTATGTCTGTCTGCATATATATGTGTCAGTCATACTGCATTGTCTACATTGGTCGGTCTTAGTGCTTAAATATAATGAATGATACGTTATACTCACTAATTATTACTTACTATTGTTATTATTATTATTATTAGTAGTAGTAGTAGTAATACTACT